TAAATTGAGATCACGTAAGAGCCCACTTTTCTTAAGAAATATTTTGGCCCTATATTTATGGATATCACGAAAATAGCTCAAGGATAATCTCAATTATCACTTTCGATTTAGGCAAAAATCTAAAGGTCATAAACATAGAGAAGTTGCAACATCATGTATATTAAAGATGAGAATGAGTGGACCTTTAAAAGACATCAGTTACCAAATTAAATGAGCTATTATTGAGTGTTTACAAAATGGTATATGTACTAAAATTTAGAAGGTAAAATACCTTTGAACCATGTATGACCTTCTGAAGTTTCGCCTTTAGAAGTGAAGGCTTTGAACTTTGTTCAAAAGCCGACTTGCCTTTTAAACTTTCCAGAGTCATAAATTTTAGAAAGAATATAGCTTATTAAACCAAAACAAGTCTTCTAAACGCCCCTTTTGAGCTTACTTTCTAAATTGTCCAAACTTAGTTATTTCAAAAAGCACAAAGATTTTATGAATTAGACTCATATTAAGTTTATTCGAAAGCTTTGCTTTTGAATTATACCTATACTCAGAAATTTTAGAAAACACAAAACCTTTCAAAAATTTCTTTTGAGTAACACTTTGTACATATCTTTTTTGTTTGGGACCTTTCTCAAGCCCCGCAAATGCGGACCTGCTTGACCCACCCAAATGTCTTGCCCCTTGGACCTCACCATATGGTGACATTTGTCGACTCCAGGTTTTATCTAGCTTATATGAGTGTGCACTTTGCACCTCCTAAACCATATTATTTGTGAAACCAATCACACAAAATGGGATGATTATTCACTAAAATCACCAATATGGCTATAAAAAATTACCATATGTAAACATTGAAATAATAGGATTCTTTTTAGATTACATTAAACATGTAGAAATGGGTTTTCATTGAACCAAACTTGTACACATTACATGCTTAGATAACATTCTTGTTGTATCTATATGTTTAAGAATAAATCAATCACGATCCATAAGATCGGCTTATGAGTGTTAAATTTTAAGTAAATGGAATATACATTATTCTCTCATTAAGATGCAATATTGGAAGATTCTGCATGTAATTGAGGAGAAGATGAAATTACTCTAACACTCCCTTCATACTAGGAAGCGTAGGATGTACTAGTTGATGACAAAGAAGATTGTGACGTTGATGGTGGAGAGGCTTGGTGAGAAGATCTGTTGGTTGGTTGATGGATGGAATAAAACGAACCCAAAGACTGCCCAATGCCACTTTTTCACGCACAAAGTGATAATCATGCTCAATGTGTTTAGTATGGGTGTGAAACACTGGATTGGAAGCCATGTAAGTGGCACTTAAAAATTTCACAATAGAGTATCATTGGGAATTCAATATGAGTAACAAGTTCATTTATCAAGAAAACAAACCAAGTTCTTTCTGCAATAGTGTGAGCAAGACCTCAGTATTCAGATATCGTACTTGAGCATGCCATATCAGGTTGCTACCAATGTAAATGAGATAACCTAGGTTGAGCGTCAAAATATAAGGCAACCTACCAAATCAACGTCTGAATAGGTAGAGACATGAACTAGTGGATATTGTGCTAAGAATCGAAGGCCACAATCAAGAGTTCCTTTGACATAACATAGTATCCGCTTGGCAGCAATTAAGTGCATGCAACAGGGTTTGCACGTTGTGTGACAACTGGATCCTGGTTATCACCTGAGGTAATTAATATGTGCTTATTTGTTAAATGTTTATGTGACAACATGATAAATCATTATATTTGATCATGCTAATGTGTGAAACTATGTACATAAATAAGTATACATCAATTATATATATATATATATATATATGCCATATGAAAATGCATGTATAAGACGGTATATATGAAGTATAAGCATGGGTATGTATATATATGTATTTTATGAAGCATGCAAATGGGTTAGGCATGCACAGGAGTGGCTACTTTAGCCGACTTTCCTATTAAGAAAAGGTATAAAAGGAGGTCTTAACCTCCATTCCTTCTTCTTGCTATTTGTAATACCTTAAGTGAGCGATTTAAATTGAAGTGGATTGATCGGATTGCATTTTCAAAAAGATTCAGTTGATTTCAAAAGTATTGCATAAGGTGAGTGATTTAAATGTTTTACTCTCTTTGAAATGCATAAATTGTTTATGTAAATTTCTCATCTGGTTTGAAGTTTAACCCATTCGAGTGATATCCGAGTGAGTATTATGCGATTTAAAACTTAAATCGAGCATGTGTTGAGCGACTTAAATATAAACCGGCCATGTGCTAAGCGGTTTAGCCTTAAATCGCCTAAGGGACGAACGAACTAGTTATAAACCGGACATGTCTTAAACTGGATGAGGGTTGAGCGGTTTATTACTCCATCGATCAAAGCTTGAGCGGATTTAGACTAAATCGCCTGAGGTATTGAGCGGTATAGTCTTAAACCGGACAAGGAGTAAGCGGTTTAAGTATAAACCGATCAAGAGTTCAACGGATTAGACATTAAACCGGATATGCCTTAACCGGTTTAATGATTGAGCGATTTATGAACTTCAACTTTATGTTACACTTTTAATCGGAGAAGTATGAATACGATTAAAGGTAACCGGTTTATTTTAAATCGGACAATAAGGCATAGTGTTGTCCGGATTTGATATCCGGACAAAAGAGTTGGAAATGATACTAAGTGTTTAAATCGGGAAAAGCTATGCGAAATATTGTCCGAATTTGTTATCCGAACAAGGTTGACCGGATTACTTGTTGTCTTGTCAAAATATGATTCTTTTGAATCAATAAATTGGAATTTTGACAAAAATAAATTTGAACTGATAAAATTCCATTGATTGCAGTCTATTTTATATGGAACTGTTTTGTGAAATATTTTGATGGGAAATAAAGGAGGGCATATCAAGGAGAGGTGTACCATGGGATAAGAGTGACATATCAAGGAGAGGTGTACCATGGGATAAAGGTGACCGATAACTCTCATTTTGTGAGAGTTATTTGTTGTTCAATACCCCTATTTTATTGTATCGTTGGTACCCATTTTGCTCTTATCTTGTATTTTTGGTCCAAAATATGTTAAGAGGTGATGAAAAGTCAAGAATTTAATTATTTTCTAAAAAACCCATTACTGTTGGTAAAAATGTCCACTTTTTGCTCGCATGCATTCTATGACGTATTTTCATCAAGTTGGATTTGAACGAAATGCAAATATGAACTCTCTTGAGTTTTAATGAGATTTAATTCTGAGTTCAGATCTAAACATTGAGTTGCTTGGAAGAATGGGCCAGGTTAAGTTATAAAAAGACAATAAAGTACTCCTATCTTTATTTTGATTGAAAAACCTTCTTTTCATAATTTATTGGAGTACTTTTACCTTTTGCAACCTTTCAAAGAAGAAGTGACATGGCCAGAGATAAAATAGACTTGTGGTGATGGGTGGTCCTTACCCTTTGGACAATGCAGATTTTTATCCGTTGGACAAAGAGTTTGTCCGGTCCTCACCTTTTCCTATATTTTGAGGACTTTCTCTCAGCTGGAAGGCATCCACTCCATCAACAATTTAGCCAAGCAACCTTGGAGCATTCTCTCAAGCTTTACAGCAGTAGAGCAAGTTTAATTTCTGTTTGTAATTTAATTTTCGTARWTAGTCTTTAATTCTCGCCACTGTGTATTGTATGCCCTMTGTGGGCAACAATTTAAGTATTATTTTCAGTTCAAGTATTTCTTATGCATTTTTCTTCTTCTGTTTCGGTTATGTTTTCTGATTTTATTAKGAGCTAAGCACCCCTTTGGRTGTGGGTGTGAGTCAAGCTTAAGAATTTAAGGGCACACTTGGGTGTTGCCATTTTTTATTGATTCTTAAGCTTGGTCATTTAAGTCGAGACTTAARCTCAACGCAGATAAGCTGATCACTTTGAAGTGTTAATATTAGATCCTTGATCCAGAGATGGGCGGATCTGAAATACGGCTTRGATGATGCACAAARATTTGAGAGAGTCTTTGATAATCACGCAGAGATGCGGGTTTTGCATGTTTTTAGCTTATGTTCAGATGTTTGTCGAGTTTATGCTACAATACGTTGTGAGTATAAATCTTCAAGCTAGTGGAACCAGATATCTTTTTATCTAGTAGCTAATTCGGTAAGTTTAAGATTGATATAACTGGACGCTTTGTGGGCACTCTGTGGGCACATTATATAAGAATTCACTTTCGAGAGATAGGAATTCTTATAGAAATCCCATGAGTTTCTGACCAAATTGTTCCTGCAATATTCTTAAGCAAAGCTTACACCTATACCCATCTTTTAAATTAAAAGGTTTATTTCATATTTTAACGCTTTGCACCAATCAAAACTCATCTTTTTTTTTCTCAACCCGAAACATGTTCAAGAAGTTCATGAAAGTCTCTAATTCTCAGTAAGTCCGGTCCCTGTGGAAACGATTTTGGTACTGTACCACTCTATTACTTGAAGCGATCATAGTGTCGGCGTGCACTTACACCGCCACTTTGGGGATTTTRTGCCCACTGTGTGCACACTTACGATTTTAGCACATCAAGTTTTTGGCGCCGCTGCCGGGGACTGGCGCGATTTTTATCCTGAGATATTGATTTTCATTTGAGCCTTGGTCAGTTGTTTCATTCATTGTTCCTGTGTTGTATGCCACGGCTACAACACGGTGATCTTTTACCTCTTGATCTTGAGTTAGAAAGAACAATTAGGAGACGAAGAAAAGGTAGAAACAATCGGCGAAATCCCAACCGTACCATGGGGATAATCCACCTCCTCGGGAAGCCACGGTCAATATTGCCGATGACAAAAATAGAGGCATACGGGACTATGCAACTCCCGGATTTGGTCAATTGGCCTCGGGAATTGGTAGACCTGAAATGACAGCAACATCTTTTGAACCTAAGTCGGTTATGTTTCAAATGATTTCTGCTATGGGTCAGTTTGGGGGATTATCTTCGGAAGATCCGCACTCTCATTTGAAATCTTTTATAGAAATGACGGATCATTTTAAGATTCCCGGAGTTACTCAAGAGGCCTTACGCTTGACGCTTTTCCTTTATACATTGAAGGATAGAGCTAGAGCATGGCTAAATTCCCAACTACCAAACTCGATCCTTACTTGGAATGATTTGGCGGAAAAATTTCTAAAAAAATACTTTCCTCCGACAAGGAATGTAAAGATTAGAAATGAAATTATGGCGTTTCGCCAAGAAGAAGATGAAGCGGTATCGGAAGCATGGGAGAGATTCAAGGACCTTCTTAGGAAGTGTCTTCACCATGGAATCCCTCATTGTGTTCAATTGGAAACCTTTTATCATTGGCTTTCTAGTGCCGCTAAGATTATTCTTGACGCAACGGCCGGTGGTGCTTTTACAGCTAAAACCTACAACGAGGGGTATGACATTTTGGAACGAATTTCTAATAATAATACTGAATGGTCTAACCCTCGTGCTGTCATTTCTAAATCTGCCTCGGGCATTCATGAGCTTGATGCTATTTCTTCTTTGAATGCCCAAATTGTTGCTCTAACTAATTTGGTTAAAAATAATTTAAACTTGAATGGGGAAAAGAATCAAGTCCAATCCATAATGTCTAATTCTTCCATGACTGAATCTTGTGTTTTCTGTGGTGAAAGTCATTCTTATGAGTTTTGCCCCGGAAACCCCGTTTCGGTAAATTATGTTGGGAACAATACAAGAAATAGCCCATTTTCTCCGACGTACAATTCGAATTGGACAAATCCCCGGGACAACTCAAGTCCAAAACCGACATTCGAATCCCCCGGGATTTAATCAAGGAGGTCATCACATGCAAGGTAATCATCAAATGTACCAAAACGGACAATCTTCACAATCACATGCACCTAGGCAACAAAATGCATCGAAGGGTAATGGTTCACTCGAATCTTACTTAAAGGTTTTATAAACTAAACCAATGCCACCTTGAGGAGTTTTGAGACCCAATTTGGCCAATTTGCCACGGATCTCAAGAATAGACCTCAAGGAACTTTGCCTATTGACACGGAAATACCTAAGGAACATGTCAAGGCCGTGACTTTAAGAAGTGATAAGAACTTGGGAGACTCTAATACCGAAAAGGAAACACCTAGTGAGCCGATTTGTCAAGAAAATATTTCACATTCTTTTGACACATCGAAATTTCCAGTTCTGTTTCCTACAACTGAAGAAGCTCAAATTCCAGTTTCTGTTCCAGAAACAGCAGATTTGCCCAGTTCCAGCACCACCCAGTCTCCAACTGATACTGCTCACAGTGGGCAGAAACTGCCCACAACCCAGCAGAATAAGACCGGTCCAACTGATTTAGATCTAAGAGATTTACCTTTTCCAGGTAGGATGAAAGCCAAAAATGTGGATGTTCAGTTTAAGAAGTTCTTGGACATCTTTAAACAACTCTACATTAACATACCTTTGGTAGAAGCTCTCGAGCAAATGTCTAGCTATGTTAAATTTTTGAAAGACATCCTCAATAAAAAGAGAAGACTTAGTGAAATTGAGACCGTGTCTTTGACAAAGGAATGTAGTGCCCTTCTTACTTGCAAAATTCCCCCAAAATTAAAAGACCCAGGAAGTTTCACCATCCTATGCTCTATTGGTGGAAAAGAGGTAGGTCATGCTTTATGTGACCTTGGGGCAAGTATAAATCTCATGCCTTTGTCCATTTTTAATCAGTTGGGAATTGGGAAAGTTCGACTTACTATCGTGACTTTGCAATTAGCGGATAGGTCCTTGGCATATCCGAAAGATAAAATTGAAGACATCTTGGTTAAAGTAGACAAATTCATCTTTCCAGCCGACTTTCTAGTGTTAGATTATGAAGCCAATAAGAATGTTCCAATCATCTTAGGGAGACCCTTTCTTGCTACGGGTAGGACATTGATTGACGTACAAAAGGGTGAGTTGACCATGAGAGTGAATGACCAGCAGGTAACTTTCAATGTGTTTAAGACTCTTAAGTTCAATGGGGAGATTGAGGACTGTTCGTCTATTTACTCAGTAGGTGAAGATTTAGATCTAAGTTTGATCGACTGTGTCCACAGTGGAGACACTGTGGGCACGACAGAAGACATTTGTGAAGAAGACTTACTTGAGGACATAGCTGCCTTTGAATAGTTAGATTTTAAAGATATACCAACCCAAACCCCGTCCATTATAGAAGCACCCGATTTGGAGTTAAAACCACTGCCTTCACATCTTAAATATGCATATCTTATGGAAGGAGAAAAATTGCCCGTGATTATTTCTTCCAACTTAAGTGATAAACAAGAGGAAAGGTTGATAGATTTGCTGAAGGACCATAAGAAAACTTTCGGTTGGACCATAGCTGATATTAGGGGAATAAGCCCGTCCCTTTGTCAACATAAGATTATATTGGAAGAAAATAGTGTTGGGAAGGTACAACCTCAAAGAAGGCTAAATCCAATCATGAAAGAAGTGGTTAAGAAGGAAATCTTGAAGTGGTTAAACGCGGGTATTATTTACCCCATTGCTAGTAGCGGTTGGGTAAGTCCGGTTCAATGTGTGCCTAAGAAAGGTGGTACTACGGTAATCAGCAACGACAAGAACGAACTTATCCCAACTAGAACCGTTACCGGGTGGAGGATTTGTATGAACTATAGGCAATTGAACTTAGCTACTAAGAAAGATCACTTCCCTTTGCCTTTCATAGATAAAATGCTAGATCGGTTGGCCGGAAAGGAGTTTTATTGTTTTTTGGATGGGTACTCGGGATACAATCAAATCCATATTGCACCCGAAGATCAAGAGAAAACTACTTTCACTTGTCCCTTTGGAACTTTTGCTTTCCGACGTATGTCATTTGGCTTATGTAATGCTCCGACCACTTTCCAACAATGTATGATGTCTATTTTTCGGATATGATTGAGGACACTATGGAAGTTTTTATGGATGATTTTTCGGTTATTGGCACTAATTTCGAAAATTGTCTTGAAAATTTGAAGAAAAGTTTGGAGAGATGTGAGACCCATGACTTGATTTTAAATTGGGAAAAATGCCATTTTATGGTATAAGAGGGAATTGTTTTGGGTCACATGATTTCAAAGAAAGGTTTGGAAGTCGACAAAGCTAAAATTGAGGTGATAATGCAATTGCCCGAAC